GAGGAGGAAGGACGCGGGAATCCATTCCCAGGTTTCATGCGAGCAGGAGTGTGGGGGATATTGTGCCTCTCGCTACAGCTTGAACTAAACACGTTTAGGAGCCCGGCTGGAGAGGCTCAGTGCTTAGGCGTCGACCTAGGAACCAGGAGGTCAGGGTTCGGTTCCCAGTCAGGGCACATGCCCAGGTTGTGGGCTCGATCCCCAGTAGGGGGCGTGCAGGAGGCAGCTGATCCATGATTCTCTCTCCCTATGGAGGTTTCTCCCTTCCTTTCTCTTTGAAATCAATAAAAATCCTATATAGCATAAGCCTAACATGTTAAGGGTCCCATCGTCCAGTTGGCCAGTCAACCAATCAAAGGGTAATATGTTAATTATATGCTAAGGCCACTCAACTGCTCGCTATGACGTGCACTGACCACCAGGGGGCAGACAGTCAACGGGTCAACCAGTCTCTATGATGTGCAATGACCACCAGGGGACAGACGCTCAGATGGTAGGTGAGCTTGCTGCTGGGTCTGGCCGATCGGGACTGAGCGAGACGGGCCGGACACGCCCTGGAGCCCTCCCGCGGTCCCTCCCCAGCTGGCCAACCTCCCATGTCCTTCCCCGGCCCTGATCATGCACCAATGGGGTCCCTCGGCCTGGCCTGCGCCATCTCGCCATACGGGCCCCCTCGGGGGATGTCAGAGAGCCGGTTTCGGCCCCATCCCACAGGTCAGGGAGAGGGACCCCACTGGTGCATGAATTCGTGTACCGGGGCCTCTAGTCTATTTTAATAAAAGGGAAAAGATACTTACAGATTCTTGCTTGGAGGAACTGCCCTGGAAAACCATAACAAATGGGAAAGACGGTAAGTGGCTGAGTTTTCAATAATGGAATTATTGTATCTATTTCAATAATGGAATTAAAGACAGGAGTCCACCCAGAACCTCAGCATTAGTCTGAAGGTTATTTTAAGCTGAAAATATTTGGGATTAATTAGATGAGGGAAAAAAAGCCTTCCGGGCCCTGGCTAGTGTGGCTCAGTGGTTGAGCATTAACTTATGAACCAGAAGGTCAGGGTTCGATTCCCAGTCAAGGGCACATGCCAAGGGCACATGTGGGCTCCATCCCCAATAGGGGGCATGCAGGAGGCGGCCGATCCATGATTCTCTCTCATCATGGATGTTTCTCTCTTACTGCCTCTCCCTTCCTCTCTCTGAAATCAATAAAAAATATATTTTTAAATGTTTTTGTAAAAAAAAAACAAATTAATGGACGGCCCTCTTATGGCCAAACAGCTTCGAGGATAAAAGATTCTATTGGTGAGGATTCGACTCCAAATGCGAGAGATGGAGGGGGCCCTGTGGGTGACCGCTCCCCCTGGCTTCTGTCCTCACCTCTCGCTGGATGTCCAGTTCGTAAAAGAAGATGCGACTCGAGGCCTCAAACCGCAGCCTGGGGTTGTCCCACTGGATCACGTGATGGGATCCGTTGCCGCCGACCGTGAGGTTGGCCGGGGGGTCAAACTTTTCTAAGAAAGAAAAAAAACCCCCAAAAACCCCCAAAATCAAAACACAGAACACAACCAACTCAACGCGGTCCGAGGCCGACGAGGTGACTCGATGGGACGTAGAGAAATGGATCGTAAGAGTCACTTGTCCGGTTTTATTATTATTATTATTATTGTTCCTAGAGGCTCGGTGCATGAAATTCGTGCACCAGGTATGGTCCCCCAGGCCTCCTAGGGATCAGGGTTGATTGTGGTGAGACGATATCCCCCCTGGTGGTTTCTCCTCTAAGGAGCTCGTCTCGATTGACTGCATTAGGGGATGTGTCGTGGTGCCCCCAGGGCCAGTCTGGGTCCTCCGGCTGCCGGCCAGAACTTTCTCTCTGGCTGTCGGCTGGTGCCACCCTTTGTTCCGCACCGCCCCCTGCTGGTCAGTGCACATCGTAGCGAGTCATTGAACTCCCGGTCTCCTGGTCGAATTCCCGAGGGGACAATTTGCATGATTAGGCTTTTATATACATAGATTTTTTCTTTTTTCTCTTTCTTTCTTTCTTTCTTTTTCTTTATTTTTTCTATTCTTTTTCCTTTTTTTCTTTTTTTATATACATAAATCTTTCTTTCTTTCTTTCTTTCTTTCTTTACTTTTCTTCATTTTTTCTATTCTTTTTCCTTTTTCTTTTTTTATATACATAAATTTAAAAAATATATTTTTATTGATTTCAGAGAGGAAGGGA